TTTTATATTAAAAAACCTAATAGTAAAACACTACTGGCTTTTAAGTAATTAGCTAACTAAGCTATAGGGATGCTTAATTATAAAAGGCTTATTTAATTTAATACTGCTGCTATAATAATTATAAAAAAAAAAGTATATTAAATAAATATATTAATACCTTTACTAAAGGTAATATAATAATTATAGGCAGATAATTTTAATACTTAAGAATATATAAAATAAAGAAATAAATTAAATATTTATTAAAAACCTAGTATATAGTTAATAAATAAAGAAAAATTTTTTATATATAAAAAATATATTTTTATCCTTAATAATATTAATTTAATAAATAAAATCCTTTACTTTTATTATAATAATTTTTTAACAGGCTACTTTAGAGGGGGCTGTACTTTAGACTTTATCTAGTGGAAATTCTATTAGCACTATATAAATTAAAATATTAAAGAATATATAGCTAACTATAGAGTATATTAGGGGAATATAGCCTAAAGGTATAAGCTATATAATAAACTTAAATCCCTGCTAATTCCCTAAAGACTTATAAAAAAGTTAATAATAAACTTTATTATTAGCCTTTTAATAATATTATATAAAAAAAAAAAAGTTAATGCTATTTTAATAATAGTAAATTAATTTATAAAGTATTTTATTTTTTTATTTATATAGACTATAATTACTATAAAAAAATTAATTAAATTATAGTACTAGGAAGTTAAATTTATTATAGGGCCTGCAGAAGGAATTATAATAGATAAAGGACCTATATTTATTAATAACTTTTAAATAAAACTATACTTTATAAGCTAAGTAAAGTAAAGGCTTTTAATAGTATTTTACTTATAAATTAATAAATAAATAAAGAAGATAAACTAAATTTTAAAATATTATTTATATTATTTTATTAATTAAGACTAAGGAAATTAAGCTAGCCTATTAAAAAAAGTATAGTTTATATATAATACTATAAAAAATAATATTATTAATATATTATTATATAAAGTATTATATAAATTTAATATTAATTTCTATACTTAAAGGAATAATAAGCTATTTTATAGTAAGGATACTTTAATAAAGGGGAGAATAGCTGCTATAATAAAGTAAATTAAAAAACTTTAATAAATTTAAAGCAAACTGTAGATCTAGTGGTAAATTATAGTAAAAAGATAAATATTATAATATAATAAATAATATAAAAAACTAATATTATTATTAAATAACCTAGTAAGGTTATTAATAAAGAACTTATATATTAAAAAAAAAAAAAAAAAGCTTGCTTTAAAGTTTATTAAACCCTTAAGGGTTATAATAAAAATTAACTAATAAATATATTACTTAATACTTTTAAAGAAATATATATAGATTTATAATATATTTTATATTAGCCTTTTTAAACCCTAAAGAAAAAGGCTAAAAGACTAAAATAAACCTTTAACTATATTAAATTTAAATAACCTAAAGGAAAAATAGAAAGTTAAAGAAATTAAAAATTATAAAAAAATCTAAGGTTAGATTTATTATTTAATAAAATAGGCTAAATAGTCTATAGAGTATAATTAGTAGGTATTTAAAATAAATATATAAAATTTATAGTAAATAATTATTAAATATTAAAAAATATAGAAAAAAAGTAAATAAAAGAAGGGAGAGTTTTAGCTAAAAAGTATATTTATAGCCTACTAGAGCTAACTATAAAAATTATACATTACCTAGGCCTATAAAGGCTAACTAAAACTAAAGGGAACTACTTATTAAATATTAATAAAATTATACTTAAGTACCTTTATTAACTTTTTATAAACCTTATTATTTATTATATTAATATAATTATTTATAATATTAATAATATAGTTATAAGCAGTATAAAGGGTAAATTATTAAAGAATATACCTTAAATTACTAAAAGTAAGCTTAATAATTTAAGCTGCTTTTTAAGCCTTTAAATCTTTAGTTAACTTATTATTAGCCTACTTATATATTATAGCTATAGCCTAAGGTAATTATAAGCAAAATATTAATATATTTTAAAAAAAATACTTAATTTATATTAAAGGGTATATAAAAAATTAAGTAAAAAAATTAAATTACTAAAAGTATTTATTACTATATAATAAACTAGTAATAGGTTATTTAAGCTTTAATAATAGCTTTTTTACTATTAGTAAGCCTAAAGGTAAAATAATATAATTATTTAAGCTAGTTAAATAACTTTTAAAGGTTAATTAAAACCTTTATAAATTAGCAGTAAATATTTATTAAAAAAATATACTTTTACTAGCTACCTATAACTAAAGTATTAAAATAAATATAAAAAATATAAAGATAGTTTATTTATTTATTTAGCTTATAGGCTTTATTATATAGTAAAATAAAAAAACTAAATATTTTAATTAATTAATAAATATCTTTTAAAATATTAAAAAATAATAATTTTATTAAGCACAAGAGTTATTATAGCTATAATATTAATTATAGTAGATTAATAATAGACTGGAGAAAATATAAGTAATTTTTAAAGGAATTACTAGCCTATTGTTTTTTTTTTTAAAGTATATTCTCTTTTTATTTAAAGCAAAGGAGGTCTGCATATAATAAATATATTAATTAATGCTAGTAGTATAACCTTAAGTATAATTATAGCATTATATTAGCTTTTTTTTATAATAATTAGCGTCTACTTTTTTTTAAGACTTTAGTATAATTATAATTTATAAATAAAAAATAAATAAATTAAGGGAGAAAATGTTTTAATAACTAAAATAATCTACTGCCTGCTTATAAATTTAAATAAAAATAAATAGATTTTATAAAATATAGGCAAAAATAAAAAGATTTATTTTTATAATAATAAAAAGGGCTAGGTTAAATACTTAAAGCTAATAACTAGATAAATATAAAAGGCTTAGTGGGGTATAGGGGCCTTTATATATTAAAAATAAAAAAGTAAAATTACTTTACTAGTAAATTACTTAAGCAACTGCAGCCAGTTGCTATAAAAAGGGGGGATAATTATAATAAGGTTTTATTAAGCTTTAGGTTAACAGCTAGGTACTGAGGCTAAAGGCTATAGTATATAACCCCTGGGGCTTTTTACAGGCTTTCTTCTATAAAACACTAGAGTTATAAGAACTAGAAATAATCCTTAAGCTTAAGTGCCTTAATATACTATTACCTACCTAGCTGGCTGTTATTAGCAATTTCCTATTATAGTTTTAATAACTTAAGAGTTAAGGCATTAAAGAATAACTATAAAAGGCATGCTGTAAAAAAAGCTAAAGATTAAAGACTATAGGTAAAAAAAGTATATAATAAAGTTCCTTTCCTGCAGCATTAGCTATAAAAGGTTAAGTTAAAGGTTTAAAATAGCCTTAAAAAACCTTATGTTAATTAATCTTATGCCTTTAATAATTACTTAATAAAGTTTAATTATAAAGCTTTTTTAAATTCTATAACTTCTATAAGTTATTTCTATAGTCTTTATTATAAGCTTTATTTTTATTATAATTTTAAAGGCATGCTGCTAGTCCTATAGCTATAGATCTATAACCCTAAGATAGTTAAAAAAGCAGTATATTTTATAATTATAAAAGCAGAAAGATAGGCTTAAAATTAAGCTAAGCTTGCTTATAAAGTTAATAATATAAAAATAATAAAAGAAAATATTATTAATAAGCTTAATAAAG